GCCAGTGGCTTCCCGTCATTTTCACTCACCGAGCACCTGAAGCTCCAACTCAGGGCTGCGCTTAAGGAGACTTCCGTCTTCTGTGGCGGCCTCGCACCAGTAAAGCCCAGAGTCTTCTCTTCTAGCGGCTAATATTTGGTATTCAGAGGATGTGTTCCTGCCTTGCAGGGTCTTGCTGCCCATGTAGAAGGCGAAGGAAAGCTGCAAACCAGGCCTCTGCAGGAGCAACTTTGCTTCACAGCTCAGGGTGACTAGATTCCCCTCCAGGAGCGGGGATGTCACAGACGCCTTCAGCACTGGAGCTGGAAATAGCTCTAAAGAGAAAGTTGATGGGGGACAGGGTCGCCTGTGTAACATCCAGGTCCTTTTCACAAGACATGCCCTTTACCCCCTTGGGAAAGCTGGCCCTGGGAAATGCATCCATAAGGCATAACCTTTCTTACTTCCGGCACAGAGCCATTCTTGGGGTGTCTTAATAGACATAATTAGGGTTGCCAGCTTGTTCAGTCCTACTGAGAATACCCCTATACCAGTGGTCCCCAACCTTTTTGGTCCTAGGGATGGGTTTTGTGGAGGACAATTTTTCCACAGCCAGAAGCTGGGGTGGGGATGGTTCTGGAAGGAAACTGCTCTGCCTCAGATCATCAGGCATGCGCAGTTCACAATAGTGTTCATGTTCTTATGAGAATCTAATTGCTGCCACTGATCTGACAGGTGGGGGAGCTGAAGGCTAATGGTGCCTCAAGAGGAAGCTCACCTCCTGCTGGGCGGCCCAGTTCCTAACAGGCCACAGACGGATAAGGTCGGGAACCCTGCTTTACATGATCCATTCTTCCCTGAGTGGCCATGTCATCTGGTAGCCCTTTGGGTAGTAGTCAACTAGGTGTGAACCCTGATTCACACACTTGTCATTTCAGTGACTCATTACTTGTGTTCCTGACTGAAAAAGATAATATGGGACAGTAATTTCTTTCCCGCAGAAATGAACTTTTTTTTTCTCAGAAAAAGGTTGCTAGTGATTGTATTAAGAGGAAAGGCCATATGCAAACTGGAACAGAGGAAGCTGCTTAGCTTGCAGATGCTTAGGAGGAAGTGGCACCACAGAGGCTGTGCTGTCCCTGAGCGGTAGATGGACAGTATAACCCAGTTCCTAATGTGTTTTGGGTTTCCATTTCTATGAAGCTTTCATGAGATTCCATGGTATTATTTTCTTATAACTCTCCTAGCTACCTAGAGTGAGTCTCTCTATTCCTTACAACCAAAATAAGATGAACGAAATGGATCTACATTATGCCCTGACTTTGACATTAGCTCCTGTGATTATTGATGGGGGCTGCAGTACACTGGAAAGAGCAATAGACTGGGACCCAGAGACCTCAGTTTTGGTTCCATCCCAGCCACTGGTCATGGTGAGGCCTTTAGTTAGGCAGTTGACTTCTCTGGAGCTCAGTTTCTTTGCTTGTAAATGAAAGTGAGGAGTTTAGATTATTTATGATGGTCCCTCAGAGGGAGGGACTATCAGTTCTATGACTATTCCGATACAATACCTTTCACAGTGACAGATACTCCTGCTGATGTGTAGCGATGCCGTCCCATGCCTGAGCAGTGGTAGATTCCATTGTGACTTATGTTGGTTTTCGGAACGATGAGATTAGAGTTCGAGTAGAAAGACTTGAGGACTTTGCCATTTTGATAGTAAAACACATTGTACACCAGCTTATTCTTCCATGCATGACACCTCAATGCCAGAGGCTCTCCTTCCATGAAGACTCTGCTGGAGACCTGGAGTAGTAGCCAGTCTGAAAAAGGTGAATTCAAAATGTATGCATACAGTGGAGGAGGTACAAGGAAGCCCAAGTTTGGCTGTGGGGCTTTCTGTTTTTTCTCCTTGAAACATCCAACCTCAGAGCTCTGCTAAATCTCAGGCCTATATCCAGTTCCTCAAATATCTTTAGCTTTGGTGGAAATAAAGGCAATCTTTACTGGCAACTGTGCACGCAGCCCTTTCTTATCTTCCCTTTCCAGATCTCAGAAGTTGGTTGAAACAAAAACAGCTCATACAGCATGGTAGGCAGAATTCTAAAATGATCCTAATGACTCACTCCCTTGTGTAATCCCATGGAGTGTGGGTAAAACCTGGGACTTGCTTCTAGCCAACAGAATATGACAAAGAAGATGGGATGTTACTCTTGGAATTGCTACATTGTGAAGACTCTATCTTAGCAGACTGGATGAAGAAAGTCTCCTCCTGACCTTGAGGATGTAAGCTGCCATGCTGGGAGAGGGCCACAAGGCAAGGGCCTCTGGGACCTGAGAGTGGCCCCACATTGACGGGCAGCAAGAGAGCGGGAACCTCAGTACTATAACCACAAAGAACTGAATTCTGCCAGTGACCTTTGAGCCTGGAAGAGCTTCAAAAGAAACACAGCAAAGTCAACACCCTGACTGCAGACTTGGAAGACCCTCAGCAGGGCACTCAGCCAAGCTGTGATGGCAGTCCTGACCCATGGAAACGAAGATCAAAAATGTATGTTGTTGCGAGCTGCTAAAATTGTTTCACAGCGATAGAAAACAAATGCACTCCACCTCTTGACAAATTTGTTAATAGGACCACCCATCCTAAGACAAACACTCAGAAGGGCAAACATCAGATATAAACATCTTACTACATTGACAGGAATACTCACATAGTAATGATATCATTAGCAAAACAAGCTCCAAGTCAATGCATTCTTTCTTTTGACGTACACCTCTACACATAACCAAAAATGCGTCACCTACTTCTCCAGAGGCGGTTGATTTGGCTAAATAAAAATGGGGTTCTTAGGAGACCAAGGAGGAGAAGAGAAAATAATGCTTTTTCCCTCTTCAGAACTTATCTAAGAATGGAAGGCAGGTGTTTCTATGCTACATGTAGCATGACTTTTGCAGTCATGGATATTGACATAACGCTTCCAAATATAATTAATTCTCTTCCCTCCCTTATCCCCACCCACAGCCAGAAGGTGCTGGAAGATTGCACTGCCTGAACACTGACATCTTTACTTTACATATCCAAAAGAGTGGGAAATTGCAACACACCTCCATCGGAAACCATCTAACACTAGTAATTGTAGAAAATATTTGAATGACACAATTAATAGACTTGATTTAGTGGGATGCTATACTTTAGAAAGAAAATTCATATGCTCTCTAAACACACATGCAATGTAAGAAAAATTAAGTGTGAACTAGGCCACAAAGCGTTTTTCAACAAATACTAATGAACTGATATATTTAACACAAACTCTAACCAAAGTGCCACAACATTAGAAATCAATAACAAAGAAACACCCTCCAAAAAACTTCTAAATAATTCATGAATAAAAAGTGTCTAATGGAAATTTAAAAACTTTTAACCTTAAGTGGTGATGGGAGTATTACAAATCAAAACTCACGAGATGCAGCTTTCAGCAGACATTACTGATTTCCTTCTCAACAATCATTCGCCCATCTTCATGCCCTTGGAGTAGGTCGGGGACACCCGTTTTCAGCCATATGATTAGGATTCAGGCCCACCAACCAGCTGCATTTTCTTAGTCTCAGCATATACAGATTAAATTGAAATGCCTAAGGGTCAGTGAGCTGCAATTGAATCTCCCACAGCTGACTGCGGCAAAATATTTTAAAATAGGGCATGATGGCACCGACCCCAAATTTTGGTGCGTTGTACTGTAGTAAAATTAAGAAGTGTTGTTCATTGAAAACAAACAAACAAAACTAATATGATAGTGAAAAGACAAACCACAGAATGGAGAATATATTTAAGACACTTGAAAAAGGACTTATATGCAGATATCCAGAATATATATAAATAACTCTTGTAAGTCAATAAGAAAAAGACAATAGAAAAATTGTCAAAAAGACCTTACAAAAGAGGATACCCAGCATGTGAATGGTCAATATCATAGTCATTAGGGAAATGCTGAATTTACATTTATTTTATTTTATTTTATTTTTTTTTTGAGATGGAGTTTCACTCATGTTACCCAGGCTGGAGTGCAATGGCGCGATCTCGGCTCACCGCAACCTCCGCCTCCTGGGTTCAGGCAATTCTGCTGCCTCAGCCTCCTGAGTAGCTGGGATTACAGGCACGTGCCACCATGCCCAGCTAATTTTTTGTATTTTTAGTAGAGACAGGGTTTCACCACGTTGACCAGGATGGTCTCGATCTCTTGACCTCGTGTTCCACCCGCCTCGGCCTCCCACAGTGCTGGGATTACAGGCTTGAGCCACCGCGCCCGGCTGAATTTACATTTATATATCCAAAAGAGTGGGAAATTGTAACATACCTCCATCAGAAACTGTCAAATACTATAATGGTAGGAAATATTTGAAACATGTTTAAAAAAAAAAAGGTCCACAGCCATAAGAGGTCAAAACCAGAAACAATCCAAAAGTCCCTCAGTAGAACGGGAAAATGTGAAATATACATAAATAAGAACAAATGAACTTCAGTTTATACAGTTCACAATCATCATGTTGAGAAAAAGAAACCAGACACAAAAGAGTACGTCCTGTCCTGTGCTGTAGCCCTTTATATGAAGTTCAAAAATAGGCTGAAAACCTATGGTGCTGGAAGTCAGTGTCAGGGGGTGGACTCGACATGGGCAAGAAGGAGCTTCTGGGGCGCCGGAAATGTTCTATTTCTTGATCTGGATGCTGTTTACTTTGCAAAAATTTACTGAGGTGTCCACTTATGGCTTGTAGTACATAGGTTATATTTCAATGAAAATTCACATTAAAACGTAATGTAAAAAAGATATGAGTCTCAATAAGTCACTGATGCTGGTTGTCCTAGAGTCCGTGTAGAGGCAAAGAAAATGGCCTCTTCCCAGCCCTAGTCTTTTTGTTGTCACTTGAGCCATGAAACACTTCTGCTTGAACTATACAAAGTGTCTTGTTGAAACAGCTCTGTCAGGGGTTGCAGTGAGCCAAGATCGTGCCACTGCATTCCAGCCTGGGCGATGGAGTAAGACTCTGACTCAAAAAAGAAAAGAAAACAGAAGAAAAGAAAAGAAAAGAAACAGCTCTGTCAACTTCCCTCACTCTCCATCCTAGGAATTTATTTACAGAGATCTAAGGGACACATGAGGAACATCTCCCCTCAGACATTCAGACAGCTTCAGCACATTTCCTCTAATAGCAACCATGTTTGCATAAAGGTAATTTTGCCTCCAGTGTGGATTAACGTTTGCATTCTCACTTTCAAAGAAGTTTCAACTCATGACTTCTGAATAACTAAAGTACATTTGGTTATTTTTGTCTTGCATATTGAATGAGGCTTTTTTTTTCTGAGAATATTGCAGTCTCCATCTCTTGACAAACAGAAACTCCTTATAGGTTTAAGTGGGCTGTGGGTTTTTCTGCTTCTATTTATTAAAATATGACGATAATTCCATGCTCCGAATATTATCTTATAGATATATTATGAAATGTGCCCCCAGAATGTATGTATAAAGATGTTTACTGCAGCAGTGGTTGTAAAATAAAAAGAATGGAAAGGTCTTATAAATTTACTAATAGGCAGAATGGTTACATTAATTCTGGTACAGCTGTGCAGCAGACATTTTAAAGTAGATTTCTATTAATATAAATAGGCCTCCAAGATATTTTAAGTGATAAAAGTAAGATGTAGGTCAATACATAGAAAGTATTCTACCAACCACAGTTTTAAAACTACATACATATAATATATATATAATGTATAATTTAAAAAAAAATATATATAAGCAGTTGTTTTTCTGTGGAAGGTGACCGCAGACCTAGGGTTCTGGGGTGGGAGGCAGATAATTCATTGTTCCTCATTGCCCATTTGTTTGAATTATTATTATTTACTATGTGCAAGCATACATTTGGAATAATAATACAATCTCAGGGCCTAAGTCTTACTCTAGACATCCTACTTAGAGCTGGCCCAGCTGCATTACTGTCGGTACGCAGTTTAAGGACCCTGCTGTGATGTTTTGAGTATACTGATTTAAACACCTGGTAGGTACAGAGAGCTGAGATCTGCACTAAGATAAATCGACACACACATGTATCTGGCGTCCAGAAAGGAGAGAACACAGAGGAAGACCTTGTGGTTTCCAGCCCTCCTGGTCCAAGTCATACTTACCTCTGTGGACTTCCAGCTGCACGGGGTCACTTAGCACTGAGAGACCTGTCTGGCACCTGTATTCACCACTGTCGTTGACACTGGCAGAGGTGATGCTGTAGCTGGGGGTCGAGATCTGAGTGGCTGTACCGTTGAGAAACCACTGTGTGGCGCTGTTCCCAGGCACATGGGGCCCCACGCACTGTAATGTTACAGTTTCCCCTTGGAACACGCTGACCCATGGTGGCTGCAAAGTGATCACTGCCTTTGTGGGGTCTACTTGGAGATTAAAAGAAGAAAAAGAAAAAGATCAAGTGGAGTAAAAGGGAGGGCTCTGGGCAACCGGTAAGGCTTTTTGTGGATAGCACAAGGGAAAAATATATATTTAGATTTATTTGAAAAACAGGCGAGTGGAAACCTACAAAAGCCAGCCTTTAAGAGTGTTCAACTCCTGCTGCAGAGACTTCTGCCGGTGTTATTAAATCCTCATCTGGGTGTTGGGAATTTGGGGCTCCTGAGGATTAAATTACTGATGTAGGTTTTTCTGCTGGGAGCAATGAAGCAGGCTTTTAGACTTGGACAAGCTGTTTTCCTTATCCTCTGAGCTACACTGTTTCTGAGAGTACAGCGCAGGTCAGCAGCTTCTGCACTGGAAACGGAGCTTGAAACTCTTCTCTTTGAAACCTTCAGTACTTGCCTGGCTCTTTCTAAGGAGGAAAAAAACCCACTCATCTTTCCTGTAAAGGAGACTGGTTTCCCAACGTCCCATTGGGAAACCCAGCAGACTACATCAGAGTTTGTGCAATTCTGGCCCTTTCCTGCTGTTATATAGACATTTAGGCATTTTATTTAGAGGAAAGAGCTCATTCAGAAAACTTTTGAATGAGATCTTAAAAATCACAGTTCTTATGAAAATCATAGTCTGAACATGGGAGATTTTACATAGTTTGTAAATCTTTCTCCTTTCTCTGCCTTCCCTATATGCTCTTCTTCTGGTTAATAGGACCCATCCTTTGGAAGTAGGAAAATGGCATAGAAGCAGAGCTGGAGATCACTCACCCACTTGCCCATCAACTGGAACTGCAAGAGATCAGAGAATAAAGATACCAGTTCGTCCAGGGAAAATGATGAAGAAGAGAGAATTTGGGAGGCAGAATTAATGTAGACTCTGAGGGATCAGCTTAGGTCTTTTGAGTTTCTATTCCCTTTCTCAAAATTAAGTAGTAACAGAACTGAACAAGCTGCAGATGGTGATCAATGAAACGTTACTGTGGTGCTTCCAGACTTACTGGTCCTCAGGGCCTCCCTTCCTGTCCTTTTGGTAAAATAAGCTCTGATAAACCATGGAAGCACAGACACAGCTGTCTCCAGACTCAGGAGTTCTACCCAAAGTTACCACAGCAAGACAAAACCCTTGACTCCCCACAGCCACAGCGTGTGCCCTTCTAACCATCCTCTCAGAGACCAACTTACCCCAAAGGAGCAGAACTGTCAAGAACCACATGTTATCTTCAAGCTGGTGGGAGCAGTGAAATCTGTAACATGTCAGATATTGAAGAGGTTCTGCTGGGGGCTCTGGAGCCAAAGTAGAAAAGAGGAAGGAAATTGCCTCCTCTGAACATTTTCATCATGTTCCTTTTTTGAGAAATACATCTTGAATTCATGAAACATGCTTTCCCCAGTCCTCTTAGCTCTTAGCTCATCTCTTCCAGTTTGAAGCTCTTTTAGGTTATGAACTCTCAGAATCCAGGGAAAAGGCTGAAGTTTTATTGACATTCTATTCCGATTATCTTTTCCTTCTACCTCTTCTGTTTCTTAGGGTTAGAATATGGCAAAACCTCACTTTTAAAAATTGGTTCGATGCCTGGGTAATGTTGCCAAATGATCATTCAAATCCAGAAGTTTCTATGTCAGCCTCTATCAGGCCATGGGAAAAGTTACTCATCTTTGAGAACTGCCCTAATACAAACCACCCTCTGCTCCTCTGGGGAACACAGACAAGATCAATCTCCCATTTTTGTTAAAAAAGAAAACGAACTCTCTTCCTGAAAGACGTCATGAATTTGGAGTGTTTATTTTGGCTAAATCCAAGGAAATTAAATGTTTAATGTGGACGCTATAGAGGAAAAAATAACTCATGTACATGGATAGGAATATCCTCAAGAAGAGAGTTTCAGAGTACAAGTGGGGAGCTCTGTGCCACTAAACTGAGGTGGTTTCTGAGACAGACTTGTAACCCTATAAAAAGACTTTTAGCTGTGGTGATAAGAGAGAGAGCTGAACAAAGCGGGAGTGCAGAGAGACTTGGGTGGCAATCTTACTGGCAGAGAATGAAAACTGATGGCAAATCATGCTGTAGATTGACATACTGGCCCCAGGTTCTCACCTCTCCCTGAATCGACACTCTCTCCACAGCCTCATAAATGTACCACTCTGACTCTTGACAGTGGCTCATCATGCAACTTTCATTGGCCAGTGAAATATGAATGAAAACTACATGGTGCTAATTTGAAACTTAGCACTTAGGAAGGAAGCTTCACACATTATCTCTCACCCTCTTGTTCTCCTGCGATTGCTGAGACAGGATCATGTTTTAGCTAGCCAGCCCCAGTACGAGGCAGAACTGCCCTGGACATTGTAGCTTGACGTGCAGCTGTCTCATCTGCCCTGCAAACCTGTGAGTGAGAACTAAACGCTTACCATTATATGCCACTGAGATTTTAAGATTGTTACACAAACAATAGCTGACTGATGCAAATGAAAAGCAAGGAAGACAGGCTGGGAAGAATCAGGTGTTCTGAAGAGATGAGAGAAGCCTCAGCTTGTTGAAATTTATGTTCAAAGCCTGTATTTGTTAATTATTTTACTATTTTGTCTCCAAAGTTTTCAACTGCATGCATGTACCATAATTTATTTCATCAACTTCTGTTCATGAACATGTAGGTTATTTTTAAATTTTTACTGTATGATCAGTAAAAAAGGCTGTTTACTACCATTGATAGTCCTGTGTCTACCTTTAAACATTTGACTTACTGCTTCCTTGGAACACATTCCTAGAATCAGCAATGCTTACTCAAAGGAAATGTACATTTTTTTACTTTGGATAAGATGCTACCAGATTGTCTGTGATCATTGTCCTCATCACTGAATAAATGATGAGTGTTATTTTAGAGTGCTTATTACATGCCAGACAAATACACTTGATGCATGTTTTCTTATTTAAGCCTCACAATAATCTGTGAGTAGACAATAGTATCTGCATTTTACAAATAATACATCTAGTGAAAGAGGAGATCAGTAATTTGTCCAAGGTTGTAAAAAGTAGAAGCAGGATTCAAAACTAGACAGTTTGATTTCCTTTATGTACTCACCAAGGGAGTAGAACAGTGCCCACCCCATCCCTTACAATTCCTGCTTTGTAGGAAAATAGCTGCTTCTTTGAAAAATAAGTGAAATCATTTCATTGATTAAGATAATATGAGGGAATGAGGATTGTTGTGTAAGGGGAATGTAAGATCTATAACCTGGAAGGATAAACTACTTTGTTTTTCTAATAAGTATCTATTGTTTCCAAATGTTGAGGAAATAGCCATTGATAGAGGTTTAAATTCATGTGAGAAGAGCTAGAAAAACGGAGCAAACATAGTAATGCACGCAGAGCAGTTTTCTAGCATTTGATGGACAATGAAAATCATGCTCTGATCTCACTTATTATTATGTTTTTTCTATTTTCTTGTCTTGGGTATGTCTTTAGCTCTGTTCTCACTTATAAGCGGAGCTGAGCGATGAGAACATGGACACATGGTGGGGGAACAACACTCTCCAGCCTGTCTGGTGGGGCGAGGGGAGGGAGAGTATGAGGAAGAACAGCTAATAAATGCTGGGCTTAATACCTAGGTGATGGGCTGATCTGTGCAGCAAATCACCATGGCACACATTCACCTACGCAACAAACCTGCACATCCCGCACATGAACCCCAGAACCTAAAATAAAAATGGATGGAAAAAAATCATGATGCTTACAAGAGCCATTAGGAGAATTTACATCCATATATGACATTTGTATTTCCATATACTGATCCTTTTTGTATGCATATATTGTTATTTTCTCTCTCTTTTTTATACTGATACTTTTATAATGCCATCATACTCATAGGCTTCATTTTTTTTTTTAAATCACTTTACAGGCCAGGCGTGGTGGCTCACGCCTGTAATCCCAGCACTTTGGGAGGCCAAGGCGGGTGGATCACGAGGTCAAGAGATCGAGGCCATCCTGGCCAACACGGTGAAACCCTGTCTCTACTAAAAATACAAAAAATTAGCCGGGCGCGGTGGCACATGCCTGTAATCCCAGCTACTTGGGAGGCTGAGACGGGAGAATTGCTTGAACCCAGGAGGCGGAGGCTGCGGTGAGCCGAGAATGCGCCATTGCACTCCAGTCTGAGGAACAAGAGAGAAACTCTGTCTCAAAAAAAAAAAAAATCAATTTACAAATACAGTTTTCTCAAGGGTAGATGCAAAGTCTTATTTGTCAATTTTAACAAAAATTGCTGTCTTCTCTACTACAGAAAATGATTTTTGAACAATTATTTGATATGTTTTTTAAAAGGTAAGATAGGCTGGGTGCAGTATCTCATTCCTATAAGCTCAAGCTCAACACTTTGGGAGGCCAAGGTGTATGGATCGCTTGAGCCCAGGAATTTGAAACTGACTGGGCAACATAGTGAAATCCCATCTCTACTAAAAATAAAAAGAATTAGCGGGGTGTGGTAGTTCATGCCTGTGGTCCCAGCTAACTGGGGAGGCTGTGACAGGAGGATTGCTTGAGTCTGGGAGGTTGAGGCTGCAGTGAGCTGTGATTGTGCCATTGCATTCCAGCCTGGGTGACAGAGTAAACAAACAATGCTAAGATAATTTAAGCTTCATATAGAATTGAGCAATAATTTATTTTAATCTCTGTGAGTAAAAAACAGCAGTGTTTTATTTCCTATTCAATTCCTTCTTTGATGACCGTGTGTTTTAGAAACTACTCAAATGTATTTACTAAATTTTCGGTAAAGAATTGCATATAAGTAGTTGTCTATAGCACAATTTTGCTTAATATGTTTTGTATACTGTTTTAACAGCTCTTAGGTGAAATATACTACTTTCACGTATTTGCTAATGCTTGAAGTGTTTTTCAAAGATTCACATAAAGTTTATCTGAAGTTTTTCTTCAACTACCATTCATTATAAAAAGTTCCCCAGTGGTTCAATTTTAAGTTTCCATTAATAACTCATTAATTTTTTATACTTATTCTTACTACTCGATCTTTTATTTTTAGAAATTCTCATCTATGATTTTATAGGAACTTTTACAGTAAATTTCTGGTGGTATTATAATGTATCTTTTACAAGTTGTTTCAATTTGGGATGACCTTGTCCATCTCCTCTTCCCCTGACCTCACCTTTTTGTGTTGTCACAAACATGTCTATCAAGCCCTTTGCCTATTTTCCTATGTGCCCTTGAGATTCTTTCCTACGCTTTTAAGTGATCAACTCATAAATCTCAGTCTGTTTATTTTTACATATACAGTTTTCATCTTTCCCTAGATAGCAAGGTCACTCATTTTGATTTTGTTCCTGTATCACAGCAGCAAGAGGAGAAGGATGGGAAAACTGTTAAAATATTTATGTAGCTTGTGGTCCTAAAAATAGCGATCATTGGAAGTCACATGAAAACTCTTCACGCCGGGCGCGGTGGCTTACTCGAGTAATCCCAGCACTTAGGGAGGCTGAGATGGGCGGATCACGAGGTCAGGAGATTGAGACCATCCTGGCTAACATGGTGAAACCCCGTCTCTACTAAAAATTCAAAAATTAGCCGGGTATGGTGGCACGCTCCTGTAGTCCCAGCTACTGAGGAGGCTGAGGCAGGAGAATCACTTGAACCTGGGAGGCGGAGGTTGCAGTGAGCCGAGATCGTGACATTGCACTCCAGCCTGGGCAACAGAGCAAGACTGTCTCTAAATGAATGAATGAATAAATAAATAAATTCATTCCAAATAGGAATGCAGGATGTCAGCTTCTGGCCTCACAGACTCTGAGTCTGTCTATCACAGGGGAAAAAAAAAAAATAAAATGCTTCACATGAACTCCTTCCCCAAGTTTTAACTGCCTGGTAGTGTGAGTCAGGTGTAGACACTGCAGGGCTCTCCTGAGACCCTCATTTAGTATACATGTGTGAGAGACTGCAGTGGCTTGTTAGATCAGACAGTATCAAAGCTCACCATCTTCCCTGCCCCCTAACCCAGCACCATTTTTCCTTGACCATCTTGGTGTGTTAGCAAAGCACTTTCAGAGTCATGGTGACAAGGACAGGGGGCATTGGCTGAGTCGGAGGACTCTAGGTAGAAGGGGTAGAGGGGTCAGAAAAATCTATGAGGTAAGAGATTGGCCACAGACTCTTCCTACTTCTTTGTCCTTGTTCCACCCCAGGGGAAAAAAAACTTTACTTTCTTTTAGAACTTAAAAAAGTCAACTAATATTTTATACAAATGAAAAAATGTGTAATATATATGTGTATATGGTGAATGGTGCAAAATAAGAAAATGAACATTTATGAACCCACAACCCAAATTAACAACTAGAATATTATTAATATCATACCAGAGTTCCAGCCAAGATGGAGTAGCAGAGACTGGATTTATCCACTCACCTGAAACAAAACTAAGCGAAACAAGAGAATAACATGTATGAAAATGTTTTTTTGAAACTGTGGACATCAGGTAACAAAAGACAGTCATCCCTGAGAGATAGGGAAGAAAATGGATGATTTTTTTTTCTTCCTGCAATTGCCTCACCCACTGCACAGAGAGGGGTCTCCAGGCTATGGCACAGGGAGGGGAACTCAGACAGATCCCAGGGGAGTCCTGGGGTGGAGGAGACAGAACTGAGAGTCTGGAGAGATCAAAGTGGCTAGGGTGCATGGAACAAAAAAATGGAAATGAAAAAGCTGCACATAGAGAGATCTGCTGAGGGTCCCCACCAAGTATTCAGCAGAGCAGTAATCAGTGTGTTGATCTAGGAGGAAGAGGCCGAAGCACAACATGTAATTTAAAATGTTTACTTGAGGCCGGGCGCGGTGGCTCAAGCCTGTAATCCCAGCACTTTGGGAGGCCGAGGCGGGTGGATCACGAGGTCAAGAGATTGAGACCATCCTGGTCAACATGGTGAAACCCCGTCGCTACTAAAAATACAAAAACTTAGCTGGGCATGGTGGTGCGTGCCTGTAATCCCAGCTACTCAGGACGCTGAGGCAGGAGAACTGCCTGAACCCAGGAGGCGGAGGTTGCGGTGAGCCGAGATCGTGCCATTGCACTCCAGCCTGGGTAACAAGGGCGAAACTCCGTCTCAAAAAAAAAAAAAAAGGTTTACTTGAGCCACAGCTGCCCAAGACACACTTCCAAGTTAACTCAGGGAGTGCTCGGTCAGCCTTTGTTAGAAGCAGGTTATTAAAGGCAAAGGTGAGAAGGAGAGGGTGGTTTCAAAGTTCTTTGATAGAAATTTTCATTGGTTTACAGAGATAACATTGATTAGTTATCGGCTATACATTGGTGAACTATAGGGTATGAGTTATGGTGTCCCGCATATGGCATTTTATGGCTGCTTGGCATCAGTCTGGAGCCCGTATAGCAGGCGGAGGATAAATAATTTAAGAGACTTAATAATTTAAGAGAGAATTATTTAGCTCAAGGGGAAGTGATGACTGCAGTTTCATTCCAATACCTCTCTGAGCCTGATAATTTAAAGGGGCTCATACTCCTCAGATAAAAAGTTTTTTCTTTTTTTTATTTCACAGATGCATGTGTGTGAAAAAAACTACCCCAGGAAAGAACCACTCGAAAGCATTAACTGGAACAGTACCCAGCACTCACACAGGGCTGGAAATAGTGCCACTTCCCAGAAAAGGAGAGCACAATTCGCAAGGCATGTGATAGAGAATGCAGAAGGGTCCTACCTCAGTTAAGACATGGGAAATAGGGAAGGACTAAAATCCAACTTCTAGAGATGGAAACCAGTATGCTGGATGAGATTGAGAGCACATTAGACCACAGAAAAAAGATGAATGAACACAAAGACAGAACAGTAGAAACAATCCAAAATGAAACAGAGTTAGAAAGAAAACGAAAAGAGCATCAGTGAGGTGTGGGGCAACTTCAAGTGGCCTAATATATGTGCAATTGGAGTCCTTGGAAAAAGAGGGAGGTGGGTGTGTCAGAGGCGTTTGAACCAGAGCAACTCCATCTTGAATAGGGACTGGTGGAGGTGGGGGGGGGAATAAGGCTGAGACCTATTGGGCTGCATTCCCAGGAGGTTAAGGCATTCTTAGGCACAGGATGAGATAGGAGGCCAGAACAAGACACAGGTCACAAAGACCTTGCTGATAAAATGCTACTGTAAAGAAGCTGGCCAAAACCCATCAAAACCTAGATGGTGATGAAAGTGACCTTTGATCATCCTCACTGTTCATTATATGCTAATTATAATGCATTAGCATGTTAAAAGACACTCCCATGAGCACCATAATAGTTTATGAATGCCATGACAACATCAGAAAATTATACTATAGGCCAGGCTCGAAGGCTCATGCCTGTAATCCCAGCACTTTGGGAGGCCGAGGCGGGTGGATCACAAGGTCAGGAGATCGAGACCATCCTGGCCAACATGGTGAAACGCTGTCTCTACTAAAAATACAAAATATTAGCTGGGCGTGGTGGTACGCACCTATAGTCCCAGCTACTTGGGAGGCTGAGACAGGAGAATTGCTTGAACCTGGGAGGCGGACGTTGCAGTGAGCCGAGGTTGTCCCACTGCACTCCAGCCTGGTGCCTGGTGATGGAGTGAGACGCTGTCTAAAAAAAAAAAAAAAAGAAAAGAAAATTATACTATATGGTCTAAAAAGGGGAGGAACTGTCAGTTCCTGGAATTACTCACCATTCCTGGAAAACTCATGAATAATCCACCCCTTGTTTAGCAAATTATCAAGAAATAACCACAAAAATAGCCAACCAGCAACCCTTGGGGCTGCTCTGCCTATGGAGTAGCCATTCTTTACTCCTTTGCTTTCTTAAATAAAGTTGCTTTCACTTTACGGACTCACCCCAAATTCTTCCTTGCATGAGATCCAAGAACCCTCTCTTGGACTCTGGATTGGGACAGCTTTCTGGTAACAGACAGAAAAAATACTTGAACAAAGAATGGCCAAAATGTTTTCAAACTTGATGAAAACTTGTAGGAGACAAGAATGTGCCACCCTAAAATATGACTTTTTGGTATAAGGATGATTTTGAGCTGATTATTTTGAAAAACAGTAGACACTGAAGAATTCTAAAAACACAGTAGAAGTTACTCTTCTATAAGGGAAATTTACCTTTTTTTTTTTTTTGAGAGAGAAAGTCTTGCTCTGTCGCCCAGGCTGGAGTGCAGCGGTATAATCTCAGCTCATTGATGCAACTCTGCCTCTCAGGTTCAAGTGATTCTCCTGCCTCAGCTTCCCAAGTAGCTGGGATTACAGGCATGTGCCACCACACCTGGCTAATTTTTGTATTTTTAGTAGAGGTAGGGTTTCATCATGTTGGTCAGGCTGGTCTGGAACTCCTGACCTCAGGTGATCTGCCCAAAGTTCTGTGATTACAGGGGTGAGCCACCACAGTGGCTGGAAATTTACATTTTTAAAGGAAATCCCCATTTGTAAGGTTATCTCCCTCTTTGTGCTAGGAAAAGAAGGAGGACTAAATCACAAAGGCTTTTATCAAAGTAGAAGGTACCAATTTAAATCTGCATAATAAACCTTACTCTTGTTTGCTTTTCCTGAACATTTCCCCATAACTGGCTTTCCCAACACTGTTCTTTCTTTCTTTTAGTTGAAGATGCTACAGAAGTGAAAATTCTAGGCCACCTCTTTGAGAGTTATTCATTTCTCCCTGAGTATCTGTTTTTTCTCTTGTTAATCTGTCTTTTGTTATTAAGGTTTATTAAGGGCTTAGCTGAGTACTCAGAGGGTAGAAGAAAAATTATTTTGTCTCCCCTACACTATAAATTTACAAATCCAAGATTCTCAATGTACCCCAAGCACAAAAACAAATCAAAACACCCCCCAAACAACAAAAACCATGAAGAAAACAGCATAAGGATATAATAATCAAATTATTGAAAATTTGTGATGGAGATAAACTCTCAAAAGTGATCAGAGGAAAAAAAGACACGCTACACACAGAGAAACAAAGAAAACATCAGATTTCTTGCTGGAAATAATGCAAGTGAGAAGGCAATGTAGCTGCAAAATCTTTAAAAACTATTTTTTTTTTTTTTTTTGAGTCGGAGTTTCGCTCTCGTTACCCAGGCTGGAGTGCAATGGCGCGATCTCGGCTCACCGCAACCTCTGCCTCCTGGGTTCAGGCAATTCTCCTGCCTCAGCCTCCTAAGTAGCTGGGATTACAGGCACGCGCCACCATGCCCAGCTAATTTTTTGTATTTTTTTTAGTAGAGACGGGGTTTCACCGTTTTGACCATGATGGTCTCGATCTCTTGACCTCGTGATCCACCCGCCTCGGCCTCCCAAAGTGCTGGGATTACAGGCTTGAGCCACCGCGCCCGGCGCTAAAAACTATTAAAAGAAAAAAAGATGTTATAGATGTGTAAGTGTTTAATTTTATAAGATGATGCCAAGCTAATTTCTACACGGCTATACTACTTTGCCCTGCCATTAATAGGATATGAGGGTTTCTGTCATTAAATTCTTTGTCAACACTTAGTATTTGTCAACAAAAAGAGTCAAACTCTGTAAAATTTTGGAGATTTATTTTGAGGCAAATATGAGTGAACAATGGCCCGTGACACAGCCCTCAGGAGATCCTGAGAACATGCACCCAAGATGGTCAGGATGCACCTTGGTTTTATACATTTTATGGAGATATAAGGCATCAATTGATACATGTAAAATGTACGTCGATTCAGTTTGGAAAGGCAGAACAGCTGGAAGTAGCAGGCAGGAGTGGGGTGGCTTCCAAGTCACAGACAGATTCAAAGATTTTCTGATTGGCAATTGGTTATTATCAATAGAAAGGAATGTCTTGCTTGTGATAAGAAGTTGTGGACACCACGGTTTTATCATTCAGATGAAGCCTCCAGGTGTCCAAGCAGCAGACTTTAGAGAGAGTAGATTGTAAATGTTTTTTATCAGACTTAAAGAGTCTGTTCTATTAGTAATTTTTAAAGGGAGGAGGATATGATGAGGCATGTTCAGCTCCCCCTTCCCATCATGGCCTGAACTAGTGTTTCAGGTTAGCTTTGGAATGCCCTTGGCCAAGAGTAGGGGTCCATTCAGATGCTTGGAGGACCTTCGAATTTTATTTTTGGTTTATATACTACAAGAAGACTTCTTAGTCCCCATCTTCATTTTTGTAGTTATAAAATAATTCTCTATAGTAGTCTTGGTTTAGATTTCCCTGATTACTAATGAAGTTGACAGCTTTTTCATATGTTAATTTACCATTTATGTACTTTCTTCCATGAAATGTCTGTTTGTGGCTTTTATTTTGTTCATTGTATACACTTTTGTCTTCTTATTGGTTTATAAAGGTTTAAAAATTTAGCCTCATACAAGCCCTCATGGCTTACTTCTGTTGAAATTATTTTTTACTGATTTGCAACTCATCTGACTTTTTGTTGTCTTTTCATATATAAAAGTTCTTAATTTTGATGTGGTTTAATTTGTCAGTATTTTATGTTATGATTGGTATTTTGTCTTGCTTATGAAATCTTTGCTGATTCCAAGGATTTTCTTCTAAAAGTATTAGAGTTTTGCCTTTTACATTTAAGTCTTAAATCCATATTTGTAGGTGATGTGAGGCAAGTATCTAATTTCTTTTCTCCCCATA